CATCATCATCATTGTTGATGGGGTGTTATGATTTGAATTTTTTTTTTTTTTTTTTGATGATGATGATATGCCACCCGAATTCTCTTCTTTTTTTTTTTTTTTTTTTTGCATTGCTATTCACACCATGAAGCTGTCAAATGACAGAACAGAGTTAAATAATAATAAAAAAATGAAATGTTATGCAAAAAAACGTCAAAATGATGAACTCAAAGATATTTTTTTGGAGAAGAAGAAGGAAAAAATTGGTTCAAAAGTAGTAAAATGCACACCTGGATGATGATGGTGGTTTTTTTTCTATCTAAACAATGATGATGATCATCATTATTGTCCACCACCATGATCGTTAAAGAAAAAGTTTGCATCGCATCTAATTGACCGGCTATCATCATATTGGATATGAAAAAAAATGACCATGATACAATGATGATGATGATGATAATGATAGCGATTATAATCAAATATTGTTTGTTTGTTTGTTTGTTTGTTTTGCTTCACATATCATGATTTAAGATTTTGTTTGAAAAAAAAGAGAAGAAAATATATAAATCATTGGATATTTGAATTGGGAACAATATTGTTTGAACCATTTTTCACCATTCATTTTTCATCAATCCTCAAACAATTGAATAAAATGATATTAGAATTTTTGGTTGTTTCCAATAATGATTGAATAATAGCGTGATCAATATCCATTTTTTGAACAATTTTTTTCCATTTTTGATCTGATGAAATTAATTTTCAAAAAAAAAAAAAAAACTAAACCAAGTAACGCCATCTTTGTTAGTCGAAGGAAAACAATTTAGATATTTGTTTTTTCATTTAGAATTTTTTTCATCAGATGGCACTCATATATGTTCAGACATTTTTTTTTGTCAATTTGAAAATTTGAACAAACCAAAAATACGATGAATGAATGTTACGATGAATATCAACATCAATATTTTCAGTTCCATCAATCAATGGTTGACATCATTATGCAAACAAAAAAACAGAACAAAACAAAACAGCCGGAAAATCTATTTGATCATTTTAAAATAATATCCGGTCGGTCATCATCAACACATTCATTATTATAATCAAAAAAAAAAAAACACATCAAACACACACATTCCTTGCCTTCTAAGTAAATATCAATCATATGGTATACATATGTCTAGCCCTGAAACACATATGGCTCTCTCTCTCTCTCTATTCAGGATATCATAATAATGATGGTAAACAATAGAAATTATCATTATCATCATCAACATCATTTATAACACCCATACTTGAACTATGTTTATTCGATAGGAAATTCTTTTCATAAAAATCAAAAAAAAAAAATCAAAAATTATTGTTATGAACAAACACACATGAAACATTCTAATAAAATTTTTGGTTTCTTTTGGTTTTCATTTTGTTCATGCTGTTGTTGATTTGATTTACGAAAACAAACACACACACACACACAGACATTTTATATATTGTGAAATCAAACAAACAAGAATCTTGATTGATTCTTATTGGATCAAACACACACACACATATTTCAAACGAATCAAAATTCTAGCAACAACAACTAACTAATAGAACAACAAACTCTCAACATGATATCGTTGTTTATTTCAAGAATCTCGAATACCAAAAAATCTAAATCTAAATCCACCAACACAATCAATAAACACACACACACACAAAAATTGTTCTCGATTTTATTTTTCTTTGGTCATAAATTACAAATTACACACACACACACACAAAAACGATCAATTGATTCGATTTAAATTCCAGTGATTTTGAATGCCTAAAACAATTTTTTTGTTTTGTTTTGTTTTTGTTTGAAATGTTTTTCATTCCAATGAAATTTTGTAATGGCTGTTGTTGTCTTTTTCATTACTTGGAAATGATTTTTTTTTTTTGTAATAAAAAGTATCACATTTTCATTTCCAAAATCATGCTGTGCCAATTTTCTTCATCATCTTCATCATCATCATTATTATCATCATATTTCTTTCCTGTTTTTGTCTTAAAGTTTTTAAAATGAAAAATTTCTTCTTTTTTAGTGATGTGATATGATTATTTAGGCAGGCTATGAATACGATAAAACTAAGAATCGAGAATTGAATTTTATTCATTTATTCATTCATTCATTTGTTGCCAACACAACAAAACTCGAACAACCGAACAAACAAAATAAGAAACAGAAAAACATCATCTGAATGAAATTATTATTCAACCAAACTTATTTTAATTACTTTTAACTTTAAAAAAAACTAACTAACTAACTAGGTTTATTCATTTTCGCAGAATTATTATTATTATAATTTTTCATTTTGTCACATTTTTTTTTGGTGTTGGTAACGTGAGAATCTATCCTTATAAAACATTTAATACTTTGGTTGTCATTTTGTCTTATATTTACATGTGTGGCACATTTCTTTCCTTCTTCTTGTTATTCATACTTTTAGCACACCTTTTTTTTTTATTTTGTTCAAAATGATCTAGATTTTAATCAATGTATATATAACCAAACAGAAAAATCAATAAATCAATCAATTATCAAATAGAGTTATCAGTTTACAACAAAATTATTTTTTATTAACTTGATTTTGATGATAAAATTGTTTTCCATTTGCTTGTCATCATTATCATCATCATCATTAATGATTGTGTGTTTGTTTTTGCAAAAAAAAGTATTTTTAATAAAAAATTTTCATAAATGATGTCATCATCATCGATATTGTTTGATGATGTTTATCAACAACAACAACAACAGCAACAAATCATTCAACGTTATGATTGGATTCCAGCAGGTGTTACAGATGAAATTATGGTATTTTTTTATGGTTTTGATTTCAACGATTTTCTTGTTTCTTGTTTTTTCTGGCTGATTTAAAACTTTTCACTTGTTTTTTTATCATTTGTTGTTTAGATTGATGAATATTTTGCAATGTTTCCGGAAAATAAACGACCATTATTAGTTAAACAACCAAATCAAACATCATCATCATCATCTGATTCGGGTGTTTTATATTGGAAAAAATTATTTCAACAACAATTTCCTGTTTGTGATACAACAATAAAAAATTGTCCACATCTAATGGCAACAATTAATGATAGGAAAAAAATTCGTCTACTAGAATTAATAATGTTAGATCGTGATCAATATTCATTGGATATTGGTCAGGTTAAACCTGTTACCATTATTGATCAGGTAAGTAGGATTGAGGAAATTTTAACAAGTAAAAAAAATTAATTCTAATTTTCTAATTTTCTTAACAAAGATCTGTGCATATTGTTGTAAAATAATACCGCTAAATAGTTTGGCAATTAATTGTGAACAACGTATTTTTGAATCAAAAATCAATACATTTCATCCAAATTGTTTTCGTTGTTTTTATTGTGATCAACAATTAGCATATAATATTTATTGTTGTCGTAATAATCGTCCATATTGTGAAAGACATTATATGGAATTATTATTACCAAGATGTTCATTTTGTGATGAGGTAAGTTTTGTTTTGTTTTGCTTTCATTTTTCCAGCGATAGATGGCGTTTGATTTGAAATGAAATTTTTTACAACAAAAAAAAAGAAGAAGAATTTTTAAAGTTTTTGTTTCTTTTACGGATGATTAGAATTTTGAAATTTTTTGTTTCAAAAAATATTTGTAAATAAATGAATAATTTGACATATGTGACAAATTTATAATATTTGTCGGAAACAAACAAACAAACAAACATGGATTATTATGTTTTGTTTGTTTGTTGATAATGTTGTCATCACATCTTCATCATCTGAAAAAAAATTGAAATTGAAATGTATTGATTTTGTTTTCCATTTTTCAATTTATTCATTTTTCATCATTGCAAATTACAAAAAAAAAATTTACAAAACAAAACAAAACTTGTTTGTTGACAAGCACAAATTTATGTACGTCATTCATTCATTCACTATAAGGATTTTGTGATGGCGCGTCTATTATAATAATCATCATCATCATCTTCATAATCAAGAATTATCAACCATCAACAACAACAACAAAAAATAAAATAAGAAAAAGTAAATTGGAAAACATTTGAATTATAATCTTTATTCTACTATTCTGTTGTTGTTGTTGTTGTTGTTGCCCTTTAGATAAGCAAGACACACAAAAAACAAAAATACAAAAAAAAAGATTCCTGTCATTTTTCTCATATAATAAAATGTAGAATAATGGAATTTACTTGTCGTTGTTGTTGTTGTTGTTGTTGATTTCTTCATTTTCTCTTTGTTTATGTTTAATCATCATCATCAACATTTTTTTGTATAATACAAATGATCCGGTTTCTTGACAGTTTCTATTTTCAACAAATGGATCGTTGAAAATAAATGAATGTTGATGATGATGAAAGATAAAAATTCTTATTGCATCTCATCTTTTCAACAGGAAAAAGAAGAAGAAGAATTTTCCTCAGAATCTTTTTTCATTTTTGTGTTCCGAAAAAAATGAATGATAAAATTTTGAATCAATAATGAAAATAATTGATTTATTTACCGGTTTTTTCATTTTTTTGTTTTCAATTAAAAATGAGAGAAAAAAAACTGACAAACAAACAAACAAACAAACAAGTCAGCTAGTCAGGAAGGAAACATTTTTGTTTTGTTTTTCATAGGATTTTGTTTTGTTTTGTTTTGTTTTGTTTCATCATTTCAAAATTACCAATGACATTTATCTCTATATTGTTTTTTTTCTGGGTATATTCAACAACAACAACCAGAACTAGAACAACGAGAACAACAAATAATCAAACATAGCAATCAAAATTTCAAAGTAAAACTGAAACAAAATGTTGAAAAACAATTGATGATGATGTCTTTTGCACTCTCTCTCTCTCTCTATATATGCCTAGTCATAATTAATGATGATGATGATAATAATGTAATATCCGATGCCGAATATGAATCTGCTAGAGAGGGAGAGAGAGAGAATTGTCAAATGATTTTTTGTTTTGTTTTATTTTTTTTTTCATTTATCGTCATCATAATTGATTGACGTAAAAAAAACAAATTGAAATTTTGAAAAAACAAATGAACAAATTCATCTTAAAACAATCAAATTCTATGATAATGATTAGAGAGAATATTCTTGAAGAAGAATTTCATTTTTCTAAGAATTTTAAAAGATTCGTTTTGATGTTTTTGGTTTGTTTTAATGAGAATTATTCTTTTTTATTTTAATTACAATGTCGAATTTAAAAAAAAAACATTTGAAAAAACACTTGTTTGCTTGCGAAAGGAATTTTTTCTAATTTTTTTGTTTGTTTTTGTTTTGGCAACAAACATAAAGATTTCCATAGTTTTCTTTTCCTATTCCTAACATCATTCATGATCTATTAATATCATTTGAATATTTTAGCTGTCATTGTTTTTTAGTTAGTTTCAAACAAAGTTAACGGAATTTTTCTTTTCATTCAGTTCTTCTTCTTCATTTTTTTCGCTTCAAAGTTGACATTGAAGATTTATTTATTATTGATGGTTTCATCATCATCATCCAACAACAACAACAACAACATAATTGATAATTATCATCCATTCTATGTCATGACAAGGTTCTTTTCTTTTAAATGTTTTAAATAGGCTAAAAAGAAAATTCATATTTTTTTCATTCATTCATTTTCATTGATGTTTATGCATTGTGAACATCTTCTTTCTATTTGAATTTTGGTTTTAAGTTTTCAAGTTTTTGTTACAAAAAAAAAAAATAATGTCCGAAAAATATGCTAAAATAAAGAAGAAATTTTCATCATTTTCATCATTACGAAAAACAATGAATAAAAATAAGAAAAAAATTAAATCCAAATATAATGATAATGATGAAATAATTGATGAAACAAATAAATCAACAATGAAAAACAACGATTTAACAACAACAACAACAACTGTACCAAAAAAATCATTTTTAAAGAAAATGATCAATACAGGAAAAAAATCGAATGAAAATCCAACTAATGAAAATCCAAATTCATCATCATCATCATCATCAAGATTACATTATCCAAGAAATTCTATTCGAATAACAATGATAAAAACATTGATTAATCCATTTATAAGAAAAAATTCACAAACAAATGTTTCAAATCATATTTTGAATGGTGATTGTAATCAAACGGTATTTTTTTTAATAAACAAAAAAGCTTTTTTATCAATGCAAAATTGAAAAAAAAAATCACTTAATAAATATGTATAATCAAGGCTACCATAGCAATATCAAAACGGCTAACATAACAATCTATTCAAATTGAATCATTCAAAATTTAGTGACAGTCAATTCATTTTAGTGATTATCAATATTATTAGTTTGTTTAATGTATTTTGTATAATCAAAATAAAATGATGATCATCATCATGACGCCATGAATGATTTTACCTTGAAACATCATCCATATTAATCACACCTTACATTGTATGTTGTATACAATGTTGTTTACATATTACTAATATATTAACAACATATATAACATACATTGTTGTTATTGGATATTGTTGTTGGTTGATTGTCCACAATATGATTGATATTTGAGGAGAGTAGTAGGATATGAGTTTTCTTGTTTTGTTTTGTTTTTAGATTTTGTTTTGTATGTTTGTGGTTAATGTGATGATAATTTTTGTTTTGGTTTGATTTCTGATACTATCATTTATCTTGATTAAAATTAAAATTTTTTGTATTTTTTGTTTTATGTTTTGATTCTCAAATTATTAAAAGCTTATAATGTCCAATGAATATATAAAAGATTCAAAACAAAAATGGCATATGGAACATTTTAATTGTATCTATTGTCAACGATCATTAACAACAGCACGTTATGCATTAACTGAATCAAATGATAATAATGATAATGATGATAATAATAATTGTAATAATAATAATGGTAAACCAATGTGTATCGAATGTTATGAACAACGACATAGTAATGTTTGTGAAGAATGTCAAAAACCAATCGGTGTTAATACAAAGGTATGTAATTTGATTCAGAATTTTTTGTTCTGTTTTGTATTTTGATCAATAACAATAGATAATGTATTGATTAATTAATTAATTTATATAATTTATAAAGGATCTTTCATTCAATGATCGTCATTGGCATGAAAAATGTTTTGTCTGTAGTCAATGTAAATTTGATCTATTTGATAAACCATTTGGTTCAAGATCGGATCAAATATTTTGTGCAAATTGTTATGATAATACATTTGCTCCACGTTGTTGTTATTGTGCTGAAATATTTGAACCAGGTATGTTAATTAAACAACTATAATATATTATACATAATTTATTCAAAAATATTACTAACCACCACCACCCCCATTCATCCATCTATCCATATTCACACACCCACACACTTTTTTTTTCTCACATAATGTCATCAATGATCAATCAAATTAATAATAATAATAAAATTCTATTACTAATTTTTTTTCTCATTTATATAATAATAACAATAACAACGACAACTACAAATCAAAAGGACAAAGAAAATTAGATTTTCGTGACAAACTATATCATGATAGCTGTTTTTGTTGTAAAAAATGTCAAATACCAATTGGTACGAAAACATTTTTACAAAAAAATAATAATATCTATTGTTCTGAATGTTATAAGAATGTATTTGCAACTAGATGTATTAAATGTTGTGAGGTATGTGTTTAAATTATATATGAAATATAATAATATATAATGGCAAAATGAAATATATAAAAATTCTATCTTTCTTTTTTTGGATACATTTTTTTAAATTCTTCATTTAAGATTATTATTAATGATGGTATACAATATCGTGATGAACCATGGCATGCATCCTGTTTTCGTTGTGTTGAATGTCAAAAAGAATTATCAAACATTCCATTTACATCACATGATGATAGGCCATATTGTCGTCAATGTAATGCAAATCTATTTGCACCTAAATGTGACATCTGTAAACAGCCAATCATTGGTAATTAAAAAAAATAAAAAATAAAGAATTATTATTAATAATGATAATTTAAAAAAAAAAATTTATAATTTAGGATCAACTGGAAGAAAAATGATTACACATGGTAATCATAAATGGCATCAATCATGTTTTAAATGTAAAGATTGTTCAACAGAATTAGGTGGTAAAGGTTTTGTACCATTAGATAATGATGGTAATGGTGAAGAAAATATTTATTGTACACCATGTGCACAGGTTATTATTGCTAAACAATGGACAAAACAATCTACACAGAATCAACAATCAAAACAACAACAACAAGAAGAACAACAACAAGATCAACACCAACAAGAGCAAGAACAAGATCAACAATCTGATGATAGTGTTTAACGAACAAACAAACAAACATTTAAATCAAAATTATTAAATTGTAGATCTCATCATTATCATTATTTGAAAAAAAAGCCTACTAACCAAATTACCAATTGCATCCTATGCTTTTTTTTGTTTAAAGCTGCCAATCAAATCTATCAAAAATGTAATTCTGAAAATTGAAATAATAAATAAAAAAAATATTTGAAACATAAAAGTTGGTTTTCTTGGGAATTTTCCCGGAATAAAACAAAAAAGAACAGGAAAATTTTTCCCTGTTATTTTTCCTAGTTTTTTTTATTAGTTTTTTTCTTTCGCTGTTTTATTATTGTTGTTGTGACTGAATTGGGTTAATTCTGTAGAACAAAAAAAAAATTTGAATAAATTCAGAATGAAATCAAGTTTTTTTTGTTTTGTCACACAAAAACAACAATCATTAATCATTGTTTTGATGTCGGAAATCTTTTCGAAAATCTAGTAAACTTTATTGCACAGAGAGATAAAAATTTCCCCCTTCAAAAAAAAAAAAAAAAAAAAACCAAATAAAAAAAAAAAAAAAATTAAAATCCTTAAGTTTTGTTTTAAATTAAANTTTTTTTTGTTTTGTCACACAAAAACAACAATCATTAATCATTGTTTTGATGTCGGAAATCTTTTCGAAAATCTAGTAAACTTTTTTGCACAGAGAGAAAAAAATTTCCCCCTTCAAAAAAAAAAAAAATAAAATAACCAAATGAAAAACAAAATAAAATTATAATCCTTAAGTTTTGTCTTAAATTAAAATGTTTTCCATATTAAACAAAATAAAACAAAACAAAAATTCACAACTTAATGTAATTAAGAAAATATCTGTAAATTGGTTCTGGACATTACAAAAAAATTCATTCTTAGGTTATTACATTTTCATTTTAATGTCAAATAAACACAAGAATTTTTTTCTTCTTCTTCTTCTTCTTCAAACATAAATTTACGCCAAAAAGAAAACCCAGAAAATTAATTTCATTCATTAAGATATTGGATTTTATTCAATTTAACCAAAACATAAGAAAATTGGGTAAGAAAAAAAAATTTCACATTTTAGTACAAATTACAGATTATTATTATCATCATTTTTATGACTTCATCAATATAAACAATAGTAATAATAATCAGCCTGGACTGATATTTGATCGAATCAAATGAAATTGAAATTCGAATCTTTTGAATTTGAATATCATTCTTAGTTTAACAATTTGTTTGTTTGAATTGAATTTTTTTTTCATTTGACCTGGTCAATATTTTCTTTAACTCTTACTCTCTCTCTCTCTCTTGCTCGACTGGAATTAATTTACATTCGATTATCATCGATAAACGAATCAATTTTTTGTTGTTGTTTCATTTACGCAATGAATGAAACATCATTTTGTAATAGAGAAAAAAAAATAACAAGAAAAAAACATTTACACAATTGGAATTTTTTTTCAACAACAAAAAAAAATTCTGATTATCATCGATCTTCATTTTCAAATCTGAAAATTATAATAATTTCAAACAAACAAACAACAACAAACAAAAAATTAATCGGATGTTATAATTATTTATATCATTCATTTTAATTTTGTTCATAAAAGACGTAATCTTTATTTTAAAAAAAAACATCAACATAAACTAAATACAAGACATGAATGTCATTGATGGAAAATTCATGTTAACTTTTTTTTCCGCATCAAAAATATATTTATAAAAAAAAATAATAATGAAAACAAAACAACAACGATGACGATGGAAACAAATAACGAATAGAGAATTGAATTTTCATTGAAAAACTGGAAAAAAAATTTGTATGGATTCATTCATTCATTCATTTCATTTCATTTTTTTTGTTGTTGTCAAAAAATAATCAGGAAATTTTTTTTTCAGATTTTTCAACAACAAACAAACAAAAAAAAATATGACAAACTTTAATTATGAATAATATCGATTTATGAAATTTTGAAAAAACGGACAGACAAACACAGACAGAATTTCGAAAGATGAAAACATTTTTTTTTTTTTTAATATTTCAACACAATCGATTTTTTGAAACATAATTTATATGGTAAATAATTTTTCGTTAGTTAGTTTTTGTCATTTGTCATTATTGTGTGTGTGTGTGTGGGAGCTTTATTTTGTAAAATCATTTGATTTGTGTAAACCTTAAAAATGATTGTTTTTTCCATTGAATCATTGTTGTTTGTCAAAGTTTTTCCTTTTGTCTCCGCGGAAAACAATTCAAAATTTGGATCGCTTTGTTTTGTTTAAAAGTTTTCATTTTTGTAAAAATAAATTTTTTTTTGCTGTTCATTTTGAAGTTTTTTTTTGTTGAAAGTTTTATTATTAGAAATTAGAATTCTGTAAATCCATTTTGTGGAAAAAAAATTGAAAATAACAAAAATCTTTTAAAAACTATCATTCTGTCATTCGGACATGATTAGAATTGATCACACCAAATAGATAGATTGATTATGATCGATCGATCGATCATCATCAATGAATTGGATAATTAATTAATTTTAGAAAAAAAAATACAGAAAAACTTTGTTTTTTTTTAAAAAAATCTATTAGCATTTCGACAATTTCACCTGACTATTTAAGCACGAAAAATCGTTGGAAAACATTGATTGAGAATCTATTTCAAGAGAAAAAAATTGTAACAACAGCATCAATAGCTAAATATCCGGACTGAACTAATCAACAAAACTTCAACGAATAGACAATTTGCACTTGTTTTGTTCTCATACGAAAAAAAATGAATGAATGAAAAAATCATCAAATTATAAATGATGATGATGGTGGAAAGGAAATTTCATTCTTCGTAATAGAATCTTCATCAAATCCATCATCCAATTCTTGTTTTTTAAATGAAGAAAATTTAATTTTAAAATAAAAAAAAGAAGAAGAAAATTTCCATTTTCTTGGATCATGTTTTAAAAGATTACAATTAATGATTTCTAATTTAATCACAACGACAACATATTAGAATAGCATTTTTCTTTTTCTTTTTTTTTTGTTTCTAAATGTTACTGTGATGTTTATGGACATAATACACAATCGAAACATTTTCAAAAATTCTTCATGTTGAAAATAATGGTTTTGCCTTTATTTTATCTTGAAAAAACGCCCATCATTTCTATGAATGAAAGGTATTCATCGCAACGCAACGCATCGCAATACAATAGAAGAAAATAAAAATGATGCGCAAACATTCGCGTAAGCATCCTCATTATGATTCTGTATGTGTGTGTGTAAATAGGTGTATCAGATCATCATCATCATCATCCTGACTATAAAAGCTACCGGATTTTGTTTCATTTGAACCAAAAAAACAATTATCATTATCAACCAGAAAATAGATCTGATTTTGTCAGCAAATTTTTTTAAAAAAAATTATAAAAAAAGAGAAAAATGATGAAAAATTTTATCAAGTGAACATAGTAAAAGTAATTTTTTTGTTTCATAAATTTGATCGTTTGAAAATTTTCAACAAAATTCTGTCTCACATCATATTTGAAGACATAAACATAAACCGGAAAAAAGTGTCTATATTTTTTTGAAAAACAAAAAAAAAACAACAACAACAACAAAAAGTTATGGAATTTTCAACATTTTCAACATCATTATCCGCATCATCATTATCCGCATCATCAATATCACAATCATCAAGAATTATGATGACCATAAATAGTATTCGTTTTGTTTATTTAGTTTTATTTATTTGTCTTATATCCGGTAATTTATTCGATGTAACTAATGCACGTATTTGGAGCAATAATAATGATAATGGTCAATCATCATCATTATTAACATCTTCTTCGAATAACAACAACAACAACAACAATCAAGCCGATGTTTTCGGTAAGTGTTATGATAATTAAAATTGATTTTTTTAATCATTCAATCAAATCAATCAATCAATCAATACAGATCGATCATCACAATCATCATCATTATTAACGGATAAAAATAATAATAATAATAATAATAATAATCTAAGCCAAGAAGATTTACTTTATAGTATAAGACCTGCTGCTTCACCATCATCATCATCATCATCATCTTCATCATCATCACCAACACAAAATTTAGCAACCGGTACTGATGAAACAATTCGTAATTATCGTTCATCAATCGATACAATTCGTTTTATGTCACCATATGTATTGCAAAATTATCTTGCATCACGTTTACAAAGTAGCGATTATCTTGGTAAGTAATTCTTTATTTTTTTCGATAGAAAATTTTCCTAAAACAAAACCAAAAACTAAACCAAAGAATGTTCAAAATCGAAATCACTAAATCTAAATTGCTAAATTACTAAAAATCTCTAAAAATCAAACAAAATTTTTTTTCAGGAAAAAGAATGGGATCAGAATTTTTGGGTAAAAAACGTTCAACAATTGCTGCCAACAATATACGAACACCATTATTTGGTAATTATTTTTCGGATGGTGGTATTCGTCGATTATCTCTTCATCAACAACAACAACAACAACAACAGCCGCAGCAACAATTATTATTACCATCATCACAATTATCGATATTAACATCACCATATTTAATGGTACAGAAAAAAATGGGATCCGAATTTCTTGGACGTTGATCAATCAATCAATCGAATCAATCAAATCGAATTCAATCTTCGAATGGACAAATCAATTTTGAAACCACAAAATTAAAAAAAAACGAAATTCTCATTTCTTTTGCCACTTCCCCTACTACTACTACTATTAACCCTCGTTCAACCATAATTTATTTGAGCTAAAAAAATTGAACTAAATGAAAATCAATCAACAATTTTTTTGTGTGCGTTTTAAATCAATCAATCAATCAATCAATCATCAAATTGATTAGTGTTGGTTTTTTTCTCTCTCCCCTATTTAACCCTTTACCCATCATTCTTTTTTTCATTTCAAATTAATTCGTACGGGTGTCTGAAACAAACCAAAAAAAAAGCAATAATTTAAAATCATTGAGAAACACTGATTGATTATTTTATTGAACACACGTACGCACACACATACAAACCCACAAACAAACACACTTTTGAAAATTCACATTTGAAAAATTTAAAATCTAAAAAAAAAGTTTATTCTCGTTTGATTTTCCAAAAAAATAATAATTATTATTATAATTTTCAAACTCAAAATTGAATTCATTAAGTTTCAAAAAAAAAAAACAAACAAAAGCAAGCAAAGAATAAAAATTTAAAAAATTTTTCCCACTGGTTTTCTTGATATTGATGCTTTTTTTTGTTTTTTTGAATGAGATTAGGCAAACAACAACAACAACAACGACATCAACGACGTAATAGTGGAAATGATTTAATCGATGTAGATAAAACAATGATGTTTATCAACAATAATAATGTTGATGATAATAATGGTTTTGCTAATGAATTTTTTATACCAAAATCAATACGTAAATCATCAATCGATCATCATGGTTATAATAATAATAATAAGAATAAGAAAATTAAATCAATGATACAATCATTGCCGATGAAATTTCAATATTATACTAAAGGTAGTGAATTTTTAGGTGGACCTGGACGTTAATCGAATTCAATTGTAATTACATATTCAATTAACTAATTGATTTGTAATTAAATTGTAAACAACATTACAAAAACAATGGAAACACAACATTAATTCTATTCATAAATAATTTGTTATTATCCTTTCTTCTTCTTCTTTGATTAATTATTGTGTAATTTTGATTAATTAAAATCAAAAATTACAAATTTGATTAACATTATTTGCAAAAATAAAAGAGAATATTATATATCAATATTTATTTGAATAAAAGAAAAAACAAACATCATTTGATGGATCCCGGATATATAGATTTTTTTGTTGTTGTTGTATACTTAAGTAAGAAACTTTGTAATAATGAGAAAACCTTTAATCAATTAGTTAATCAATTATGACATTTCCAATCATCATCATCATCGATGATTATTACCAATTAATAAAAGTTTTTTTTTGAGGGTTCAAGTGGATTCTTTTATTGTCATTATTATATCCGTGTTTCAATTTTGATTTAATTATTTAATTTTTGTCTACTTAATTTTGTTTGGTGATCAATAATTAAATTTGATTTGACATATTGATCTTTGATTATGATGATGATGCTGTCCGTAATATTATGGCTTTTTACCATCAATTTTTTGGTAAATTCAACAATTTCATTATCGAATAATAATAATAATGATGAAATGATTTATTCAATTTCAAATCAAAAAAATTTATATAAAAATTTTATTGAAAAAAATTTTCAACAAATGAATATTAACAGTAATTTTAGTGAAAAAATTATCAATTTAATTGAAAATTTTTTCAATCATCAGGTAATCAATGTTCATACCGGTAAAGTACCAAATATTATAAAGTTGGAACAACAATTCAGTCGTTTAACATCTCAGGTATGTTTTCTGTTTTTTTTTGTTTCATTTCATTAAAATCTAATTCAATTTTAAATTTGATTTAAAATTAGTTTATACAATACTCGTACGAAAACAATCAAACATCATTTGAATGTTATAATTATCAATCATCAATATTATTGAATACTGATATGGAATTAATATGTGCTTATCAAAATATTTATAATGGAAAACAAAATCTATTAAATTGGTTACAAATAAATTTTCGTAATTTAATTATTACATTTTTTGATCGAATTTATTGTCCAAAACAAAAATGTCGTTATACAGATGATACAATTATACGTATTGAAGCATGTAATCTATTTGATTTTATTGAACAACATTTAAATTATGATCAACGTTTATTATATCAAATGATTATTCTACGAATACAGCAACGATTTCCAATATGTTGGAATAATAAATTAATACAGATATTAAATACTGGTGGTATAACATCATTACAATATGTTTTAAAACAATTATGTCAAATTGATGTACAATTAACATCATTAATGACCGGTAAATTGATAACATTTATACCAAACATTAATAATAATAATCATCATCAACAACAAACAAATAATTTATGGCAAAAAAGACAAGATTTTATCATATTAAATATATTGACATTTTATTTGGCTTCTATTGAACAATTTTTGATTCATTAATTATTCAATAAATTCCATATTAGTAATGACTTTTTGCAATGAATTATTAGATTTTTTGTTTTCTGTTTGTTTTCTGTTTGTAACTCTTTTGATTGAAATGAAATAAAATTCTTTAAAGAATACTTAATGAATCGATTTTTTTCGATTGTTCTAGTTGATTCTGTATAGAGCAAATGCAGAAAAAAAAGCAAACAATCAATAATTTACCATTTTTTTGACATATGATTGATGAATGAAACAAGCAATGTTCAAGAATATTCTTACGTCAATCAATCGATTAAAATGATTAATTGTGTGAGAATGTTAAGGACAAAGAAAGAAAAAAACTTTTTCTCCTTATAGGAATTTGTTACTGTAAAGTTTTTCTTTCTAAAGTTGTTTTGAAAACGACGGCAACGACAACGACGACCTTGACAATGAAACAATCATTAATTTTTAAATGATTTTTTTTTTGCTTGACAAAACAATTTCAAAATTCTAATGGAAATAATAAAATTTTGTTTTTGTGATTCATTCTGTATTTGAATCCAAACCATAATGATACAATATCAAGAAAATCAAAATATTAATCATAGAAAAATGAAACAATCTTCACATTCAGATGGACGACGACAACAACAACAACAATTTACCGATACAATAATGTATCCAATGAATAATTATAACTATCGTGATCAACAACAACAACAACAAACATTTATTGGACCAAAAACGGTAATATTATTACCGGAACAATTACATCAACAACAACATTTATATAATAATGTTATTTATGAACAACCAAATCAAAGTCCAATTGAAATTGATCCACAACAACCACGTTTATTGTTAATACCAAATGAACATCTATCAGCTGGAAAACCAATAATTATAAAAAACATTGCCAATCAACAACGACGAAGATCATCATTATTACAACAGGTATGGGAAACATCACAACGTCATTTAAAATTGGTTAGTCTTGGTGGTAATCATCAAACAGAAATGGAAGATAGTCTTAATGATGATTATGTTGATGATGATGATGATGATGAAACATATGTGAAAAAGAAGAAGAAAAAAATTAGCAAAAAAATCAATGTTCTAAAAGATCGTTTAATGGGCAAAGATCCAAAAATTACCTATAAACGTTTTGCAATCTTTTATTTATTATCAGCAATATTAACATTGATTATTTATGATCCAATGCTTAATCTAGGTATGATTGATTGATTATGATTATGATTATTATTTTTGTAATTTGGATTAAAAAATCTTAGTTTTAAATTGGCAATTACAATTGAATCCGGGTAATATGTTTGTATGGATGTGGCAAGAATTACCTGCTGAACTTCATGGTGATATTTATCTATATGAAATACGTAATGGAAAACAATTTCTTAATGGTGCAAAGGCTAATCTTATAGAACAAGGACCATTTACATTTGAGTAAATCATTAAAAGAATTTTAAATATTATTCAATTTAATTGTTTTAATATTTTTTTTTTTATATAAAAGAATGTCACGTAAACGACGTGTAGTTGAGTGGAAACCAACAACAGTTCGATTTAAGGAAAGATATACAGCTGAATTACTTACAGATTTATCAAAATCAATTGAAACAAAAATGAAAGTAATGAATACAACAATATTTGCTATAATATCATGGGCTGTTTATTGGATGGATAAATTTATGATAAAATTTTTAAATCCAATCGTACATAATGTAATTGTATTAGCATTACAAACATTTAATGAAAGAATTGTTGAAGAACGAACAGCTAAAGAAATATTATTAGGTCGTCAAATTGATATATTACGTTTTGTTGAAATAATTGGTCAACCATTACGAACTATTGGTATTCAATATGATCTTCGTGAACTTATGACAAATTATGGAAATTATAAATTAAATAATAATAGTATTAGTATTATTGGTATATTAACCGGTAATGAATTTGGTCCATTTGAAACAGCAAGATTTATAAATGGAAATCTAAAAGTTAATCAAGTGGTTAAAGTATTAGAAAAACAGTAAGTTTGTTTGATTGATTTGGATTTGGGTTGAGATATTCAATTGATTAAATAAAATAAATTTATTTAAAGAACATTTGATGAATTTCGACCACCTTGTAATCGTTTTCGATCATTATATGATCCATTATATTTTGGTCATGGTGAACAAAGTGATGTAATCGATATATGGGTACAACATTTTTGTCGTCCATTACGATTTATATACGATGGGTAATAATCTATTGATGATTTTGTTTATAAAAAAAAATAAAAAATATTTCAAAACAATTTTTCGATCATTTAGAAATACTGAATGGAAACGTGGTATACGAAGTCATCGATATGATGTATCGACAAGTATGTTCGATATACGAATTAGAGATAATCAATGTTATTGTCATGGAACAAAAAAATTAATCGATTGTGATGGTTATACAAATGTAGCTGGTTGTTTTGGTGGTCTACCATTTGCATTATCATTTCCACATTATTATGGTGCACCAAAATTACAATCAAGTATTTATGGTTTGCATGCTGATCCTCAACAACATTTATCACAAGTGTATATGGAACCAAATCTTGGAATATTATTTGAAGCTAAAATTAAATTTCAAATCAGTTTAATGTTAAAAGATTTTCCAAGTTTTGGACAATTAGGTGGAATACGTGATGGTTTATTACCATTCTTTACTATTTCAATGGTCAGTATTTTGAAGAAAAAAAAACAATATGAAATTGATATGTTATTCTATTCCGAAAAAATAAAAAATAAAAATAAACAGAACATACGAACAACAGGCGTATTACATGTTCTCGTTGTTATTGGATCATTAATGTTATTATTTGGAAAATTTCTACTTATTATATCTTGTTTAACATTATCAACATTTTTCTTTTATCGTAGCTATAAATATTGATCTCAAATTATTCTCTCAATTCAAATAAAAAATTGAAAATTATAAATAAAAATTCATTTATAGATTTTTCAAAAATCATACACTAGATGGCTGGAGTGTTGTTTGTTTTTTTGTTTTTATTATTATTATGATACCTGCGCAAATCCCTCCAAAAATGAATGCATGCATTTTTTTCTGTGTTTATTTGCTTGTTATAAGTATGATTCATCATTCAACAATATTTACGACGACGTGTACTTTTACAAGAGTGAATTTCTTCGTAATTCAACATCAACATTATCATAATTAAATTGTAACGTTTTGCAATTATCCCCAAAACAAACAAACAAAAAAAAGAGAAATTAATAAAAAAAAACATTTTTTTACAACAACATAATTTGTAACTTTTTTTTTGTAAATAAATTACGAATTTGTAAACCATTTATTACACACGGGTAAGCTATTGATTAATGTTTATTTGATTTGTGTTGAATATTCTTTCTGTTATAATTTAGTTCAATCGAAAACAACAATCATCATGCAACTATATTATGTGATATTATTAAATATTGTATTATCATTAAATTTATCATTAATATTGGCCAATAATAAAAGAGATTATTATGAAATATTGGGTATTAAACGTGATGCTAGTGAACGTGAAATTAAAAAAGCATTTCGTAATTTAGCTATTAAATATCATCCAGATAAGAATAAAGATCCAGGTGCTGAAGAAAAATTTCGTGAAATAGCAACAGCATATGATGTTTTGTCGGATAAAGAAAAACGTAAACAATATGATCAATTTGGTGAAACCGATAATATGGCAAATAAATTTACAAATGCAAATTTTCAGGATATTTTTGCTAATTTTGAAGATATATTTCAAATGTTTAATCATCATACCGGTGGTGGTAATCATCATCATCATCAACAACATCAACATTTTTCATTTAGTTTTGATGATTTATTTGATGATAATGATGATTTTGGTAATATATTTGGCGGTGGTGGTCATCATCATCAACATGATCATGATTCACATTGGGCTAGTGGTGATACATTTTTTGGAAATTTTTATCAACAACCACAACATCATCAACATCAACAACAATATCATCATTATCAACATGTATCATCAAGTAATAATGGACAACAACGTTGTCAAAAAGTTGTTAAACAAATGGGTTCAACAATTGTATCATATACTGAATGTCATTGATCAACAAAATCAATCAATCAATCCCAACAACAACAACAATAAAAACAACGACCAACAAAATTGCATTACTCTGTATTCTGGACTAGTCGTCTTTTTTGTTTTCTTGTTACCAATTGAAGCCAAATAATTTAATTTAATTCAATGTATTTATTAATCCTGTTTGTTTGTTTGTTTGTTTGTTATCCCCTCTACTATATATTTGAAAGAATGCTCAAGAAAAATTATTATTATTTTGTCGGTAAACAGAACAAAAAAAATACGTGCAAAAATCTTTCGGTTATAATAATTTCAATGAAATAAAAATTCCAAAAATTCTGTAAATTGAAAAACAAAATTATTATTTCAAATAACACACCCAGATAAGTTGGGCGGCATACACGCGCACACGATTTACAACAACAACAACAAAAATTGTCACAATGTTATCATTTTTATTACAAGAAAAAAAAGGAAAAATTAAAAAACAACAACAACAACAAAGGCCATAGACTTTCTTTATAAAATTTTTTTTTATTATTATATTTATTATCACATTAATTATGTTTGAAATTGATATATTAAAAAAAATGATGTTAGAATCATACACATGATGATTATGACAGGATATATGATGATGATGAATAACGAACAACGAAAAAAATATATGGTAGTAGCAGGCTGGATTGGCACAGCCATGCACATCCTTATTGTGGTGAAACAGTTATGAAAATGAATGAATGAAAAAAATGGAAGAAATTAACGGGCCAAACAATTATCCATACTGAAATTGTAATAATGATCATCATCATCATCAAGATGAGAAATGAATGAATCAAGTTGTTGATATTCACATCGTACAATATATTTTTTTTTGAAAAGAAGAAGAAGAGAACGATGTCTATATGTGTGTTTTTTTATGGATAATATCATCATCATCATCATTATTATTATCATTACATTATAATCATATTGTTCCATTTGATAATAATAATTGTATTTAAAAAAGATTCAGTTTGTGTGCGTATATGTGTGTATGATATGATTCAAATTGGATCATTTTCGTTATGCTTTTCCGTTTTTTTTTCAAATTTCAATTCAATTCAAATGGTTGTCATTTTTTTTTGGGGGGGGAGGAATAATTTATATCTGTAGTAAATAACTGCTATGAACCTTAAACTTTGTCATTATAAACTTTAGTCATAATGCTTTGTTATTTTCATATATATTCAAATGTTTTTTTTCTTTATATTTCTAACCATTGTATTATTATTGTTTTTGCGATTATTTTCATTATTAAAATTATTTTCTTATTTCAACATTTGGTAGCAGAGCGTGGTTCATAATTTCCCGCCTCTCNTCGTTATGCTTTTCCGTTTTTTTTAAAATAAAAATTTCAATTCAATTCAAATGGTTGTCATTTTTTTTGGGGGGGGGGGGGAGGAATAATTTATATCAAATCAGGTTATAGGATGATGATGATGATGATCAATTCTGGAATAATTCATTTTCGATTAGATGATATATGTGTGTGTGTGTGTGTGTGTTTCAAGAATGAACAAACATCTTCAACAAACAAAAAAAGATATTCAGGTAAAACATTTCACACGCAAAATCATTTTTGATTTGATCTTTTCTTATTCAAACATATTTGTTCTAGATAAATTTGTACACACACACAAAGACAAAGTGTATGGATAAATATTTTCTTGGAAACGCAAACAAAAATATTTGTTTGTCTCAATCACAAACATTCAATATCGATCGATATGATTATATATGTTTTTTCAGAATTGTAACAACAAGAGATAAAGAGATACAAAGAGGGGGAAGAAATGAACATCACATAAATATATGAATGGCGGTCGATTGTAATTAAAAATGATTTAATGATTTTGTTGTTGTTGTTTTTTGGCCTAATGAAATAAAACTGATTTAAAGTATATATGTGTTGTTGGTGTGTGTCTGTGATTCACTATGGTCATTATCATTATTTGATGACAATTTTTTTTCCTGTTCTGTTATCCGAAACGATGATAATGATAATGATAAAAAAAAAACATAACAAAAATTCATTACATTTTCATTAGGTGAACACAGAACAAAAAAAAAAGAAACGAAACATTATTTATCGGCTTCCGCTTTTGTCGGCACATTATATATGTGTTTTGTCATCTTGTTTTTTATGTTTTCACTGTTGTTGTTGATGAAAAATGAATGAAATAATCACATTAGTTTTTAATTGATTTAACAGGTTTGAATGAAAAAAAAAAATTTTTTTTGTTGTGTGATAATGAATGTGAGAATAGCAAACGGATCTATCTATCTTTCTATTATATGTGTATGGCCCATGTTTGATAATGTCAATGGAATTTTCTTCTTTCTTTTCTTTTCTTTTTCTCTTGAGTGATGAAATGCCAACAACGAAATTATCTTATTACATAATAGGCTATGCGTGCAAGATTTCTTTTTTATTCATTTTTTAAAAATTTTCAAATGTTTCCTATTCAAAATATGGATCATCATCATATCACATCACATATGTTTGTTTTTTTATTTTGACATTGTTTTTTTCATTGAAAAAAAAAAATTCAATTCAATTCATCAGTCATGCAATTAAAGATGTTTTGAACATCATTTTTACAAACAGTAGCCCAAAAAAACAAACACGCAATGATAATAAACAAAAAAAAAATGAATTGATTCGAATACAAGACAAGATCAAGATCAATGAATCATTTTCTTCTTTTTCTGTTGTTGTTGTTGTTTTCTTTGGTGAAAAAAATCAAATTCAACCTGTTGCATATTTTCAAAGATTTTCTTAAAGTTTTTGGATGATTGGTTGTCCAAAAAAAACCCTTTACCTTTTTCAAACAAATTAATTTAATTATCTTGAGAAATTTAAGAATGAAAAAACGTAAAACAAATTTTCAGAATCGAATCAAAATGAAAATGAAAATGAAACCCAAAAATAAATAAAATTAGATGAAAACAAAGCAAAAAGAAATGAAATCTTGATCAACCAACAAACTAATTATTACATAATGAAAGCGAAAAAGATGATGATTATGGAAAGAGAAAGTCGTTTATTTATTCATTCATGGATGGATGCTTATGATGATGATGATAATATTTGATTTCAAAAAATGCATAATCAAATGTGACGATGTTGGTGATGGTTGTATGGAAAAAAAAAACGGGAAAAGAATAATTATTTAAATGGACATAATTATTATTTAAAAAGTTTTTGCTTCGTCGTCGTCGTCGTCGTCGTTTATCAAAAAAATTCACCAGATAATAATTATGAATGTGTCACATCGTCAGCAAACACACACAAAGAAAGATGAATGTATGGTTGGTAACCGACCCCATTGGATGGAAAAATAATAATAATTTCACATCCAAAAAAAAACAAAAAACAAAAAACAAAAAACAAATATCTATATCAGTAACAAAGAGAACCAGAAAAATGAATGAATGAATTAACCACTTAAAATTTACTTAACTTAACTGGATAATAATGATGATGATGAATCTGGACAATAAGCTAGATTTACCATACAACTAGTTGAATTAGAGAACGAGTAAAAATTCTAACGAAAAAAAAATTTGAAAGTGAAAATTTCATTTATTTTTTCACCATCATCATCATCATTATCATTATTAAACGGCTAATCTTGGAACAACTTTAGCAGCAGCGATGCTAGAAACAATAGTTTTATGGAGAAAGAAAAAAAAATCTAAATCATTTCGGGTAGAGATTTGATGACAAAAAAAAACAAACAAACTTGTTACGCACGTTGTATTCGTATTTATTCGATCAGTTGTTGTTGTTGTTATTTTATTAAAAAAACCATTTTGAAATTTATCAAAACAACAACAACAACAACAACAAAAATTATTTGATTTCAATCATATATGAGATTTTTCATTTTTCATTTCTTTCCTTATTTCTCATATCATATCATAATTAATATAGTCGTATACAGTGTGTGTTTATTACATTCATTCAAAGATATGATTTGTTCAAATAATGTTTGTATTATTATTACGAATGATATGATATAGATAATTGTTGGTGTCAGATGATAATCATTCATTCATTCATTCATTCAATCTTTTAAACTTGTTGTTCACATGTATATTATATTCAGATGACACTTTTAATGAAACAAAAAACTATGTGGATCAACATTTAAATTGGATTAAAAAAAACAAGATACAATAATTATTATGATAATATAATGATGATTATATGGTTAAAAACCGTGAAATGAAATGATAAAGATGACCAATATGGCCATTATATCATGATGTTACATTTTTTTCGTTTTTTTTATTGTAAAAAAATTCAATTTTCTATTTTGTAAATTCAAAATTCAGTTTTTTTACACCTGTTGCTTTTCACCAAAAAAAAAGTTGAAATTATAAACCGGATGACTAAATTGATAAAAAATTGTTTGTAATTTTAAATTTTTTTTTAAAAAAACGGATGAAATAAATTATTTTTAGGTGAAAAACTTCCTGAATTTAGCGAAAATAATTTTTTTTTAAATTTTTTGTTGTTAAAATAATAATAATTCAATTAGAACACAGGAAGTGATTGATTTAATTCGTAAAAAAAATTCAATTCAATTCAATTCAATTAATTGTCACTTGGAGTCGCTGTAGTGGTGTAAATCGTGTCCTCACAAAAAGAAAAAATTCATCTCAATCAAGAGAAGATAAAACAAATGACAACAACAACAACGACAACAACAAATAACAAATGACCATGGGAAAGGTCAATTAAATTCACCATCAGTTGTTGTTTGTAATTTACGTAGAACAAAAACAAAAAAATGATGATTATCATCATCATCATCATTTGAATAATCAAGATTCCAAGATGACAAACCTGATATAATAATTTAATGATGATGATGATGATGATGATAATAATTTCGATTTGACAACTACAAAAAAACGAACTGAATGAAAGATGATCCAAATTTTTTTGTTGTTCTTTCTTTCTTTGTTTGTTTGTTTGATCTACATTGCTCCAAAGAAGATTGTCGATTTGTTTTTTGTTTTTTTTTTGTTTTTGTTGTCAACCATAACAAAAGTGAAACTGAAAATCAAGACAACAAAATATGGATTCGGTCAAGATTTTCTGTTATATACTTTCTGAATCATGTTTGTTATGGTTTATATGATAATATAGAAATTCTTTAAAAATTTTTACAATTACAAATGCAATTCAATCCAAAAATCAAGATGATGATGATATCATTTGATTTTGATTATCATATTTTGTTCTTTGTTTTTTGTTGTCTTGAACTTGATACGCAAATTTTCTGTTTCTGTTTTTTTTGTTTTGAATGTTTCAATTGAATCGTGGTAAATTTTTTTATTCGGGTCTGTCAATGATTGAAAATTCTTTTCATTCATTCATTTTGGTGTTGTTTGATAAATTGAATAACTTTTCATATATGAATTTCCATCATCATTATTATTATTTTGAACTGTACTGTAATTTTTGAAAAATTGATTCAAAATTATCACCTTTTCAAGCCAAAAAAAAATTACAATTTTAAAAGCAAAAAAAAATCAACCTGGTACCTGGAACAAACAAAAGTAAAATACCTGAATTAGAAATACAAAATGAAAAACCATTTAAAAAAAACAAAATTGTAAGGGTTATCATTATCATTTATGTCAATTATTTAAATTTAGATAAAAAAAAAATCTACTACTACTTTCTCTGAATATTTCATTTTATGGGTGCAAACATTTTCAATTAGAAAGACAAATTTTCATATTTTTTTTTGTGTGTGTGTTAAATTTAAACATCAAGAGAAAGAGAAAGCCAAAAAAGATTAATCTTCGAGAGAAAAAAAAAATTCAGAATAGATAAGATTCTTGTTTGTTTGTTTGTTTGAACATAGAAAACATCAAAGCATAAAGCAAAAGAGAAAGTTTATCTAGCATATTTCTTGAAAGAAAAAGGACACATTGGTGTCATCATCATCATCATCATTATAATGATTCTCGAAAAATTTATTTTAATTTTTTTTTCTTTGCTTGTCAACTTGTTCTCTCTCCCTCTCTCACATCAATGTTTTTTCAACGAAAAATTTCATCTACGAATATCATACATACAAACACAGTCATTGACAATCGGTCAATGTGTTTGCAAGTGCCATTCACATTATATAATGATAATTATTATTATTTGAAAAGAAAAAGAAAAATGGTCAAACAGATGATGATAATGATGATGATAAAGAAAGAAAGACAAAGAAAAAGCAGCCGGTAAACCAAACAAATTGATTTATATCGATTAAATAAATTCTGACTATTTTGACTTTTTGATTATTGTCAAGTGTATATATGGGTGGATTGATGATGGATGTGTAATAAGTCCCCAAAAAAGTGAAATGAAATTAAAAGTATTTTAAGTGGTGACAAATGACAATATAACAGCGAGAAGAAGAAAAAAATATATATAATAATATCAAGAGAAAGTTTAAGCATAAAACAAACAGGAGCAATTTGTATTTTCAGTTGAAATAATAATAAAAAACGCTGAATAAATAATTTACCTTTGGAGAAGAAGATGATGAACAATGATTTTACTTTCTCTTTTTTTTTGTCTTTTTTCTTATTCACTGATAATGATGATGATAATAATATGGATGTGCGACATTTGTCTTGATTCATTCATACATAACGTATACGTATATTGTCAATCTTATCATTATCATCCTGTTATATTATTCACATCATTTGTTTTTTTTTTGTTTTCCAAAGAAAAACCACCGAAAAAAAATTTTTTCTTTAATAAATAACAAAGAGAGAAATGGTGAGTGTGTGTGAGAGAGAGAGAGAATTGGTTGAATATGAAAAAAAAATTATAATTCATCTTTTTTCAAGAAGAAAAAAAAGATTGGATATGGATTTGCTCAAGAGTATAAAAATGAATCGGTTTTTTATTCATTTTGTAAATTTTTTTTTATATATTTCACTGGTCAGTTTGTGTGTGTTGCGTTTATGGAATTTTTTTTTCTTTCTTGGATTTATAAATTTGATAAAATTCTTTGTGAAAATAAGTGTTGTTGTTTGTAAATTTCATCATCATCATCAATCAATTGATTGATTGTTTTATCAGGAAAATTTTTTTGTGTGTGCGTGTGAAAATTGTTTTTCGAAACACAAAACAGTAACCGATCCATCAAAACGATGATGGTGATAATCACCGTTATAATGATGTTTATTCAGTTTTTTTAATCTTTTTTTTTTGATTCAAAACAACATCCAATGAATTTGTATCTCCATAGTTCTTTTTCTTGCTGCCAAAAAACAAAACTCAACAAACAATATGATTTAAATTCGTAAGCAAAACAAAACAAAAATTATCACAAAAAAAAACTTGTCAACATTTTTTCTCCGGAATTTCATTGCGAAAAAAAATCAATCGACAAAAAAAAGGTATGTACATAATCAAAATACTGAATTCTATCATCATCATCATCGATAATACGAACATTCAATCAATGAATTTGATTGCGAAATTTTTTCAAAATTGAGTAGTTTAAATTCAATGAAAAACAATTCATTGGAAGAAAAAACGAACGAAAAAGTTTTGTAATGAAAACAAATAGTCACGCATCCATTTTTACAATCCAATATTACCATATGTTCGTATTATGATAATGATGATGAAATTGAATCAATTATATAAATCATCAAAAACAAAAAAAAAAGATTTTTTTTTCTTTTTTCGTTTGATAAAATAATACTTTTTAATTGATAATTTTTGATTTACTTTTTTTTTTTTTATTTTTTTCCCTCTGGCTTTCTGGTTCGCAAATATTAACAACAAATTAGTTTGAGAGGGGGTTGTAAAATTCAAATTTTTTGTTTGTTTTTATTGGAAAAATCTCAACCATGGCCATACATAATCGAAATTCAAATCATGGTTATTATTGTTCATCAATAATGATATTTATTTGTTCAATGTTAATGTTTATAACAAGTCATTTATTAATTGCACATGATTGTAGCCATGAACATCGTTATTCACGTTTATGGGTAGGTTATGAAATACCTGAAAAAAAAGGATTAACAAAGAAAAAAAAATAACAAATTTTTTTTTCTTCTTCTTTTCTCCTCTCACTAGTGGTATGATGTAAAAAATAATGCTAGTAAATCAATGTTGATTAATAATCTAAAAACGGTAAATAATCAAACAATTAATACAAAATTAATGCACATAGTGCCATTACATTGGAATTCAAAATCATCATCATTGATAAATCAAAATAATAATGGTGGTGTTCCAACCGATAATGAGCTAATGACGCAGGCGTCAAAATTAAGCTCAAAAATGACTAGAATTATGGTACCAAATATTATTTCAAATGGCCATATTAATCCACAAAATCCTCCTTATAATTATCAGAATTATAATGAACAACTGAATATTATTCGTAATAATAACAAATCGAATCGAATTGAACCGAATCAAAATTCTGCCATACGAACAACACGATTCGATGATGATGATGATGATGATGATGACGGGGAAAAAGGACCAGAATTATTTCCACAAAAACAACAACAACAACAAGTTGCTCAATTTCGAAAAGAAGCCATATATGAAGCTGAACCAGAAAATTCATCAATAAAAAATGGTCAACAAGAAAAACTAGCTGCATCAAATAGTCGTCCATTTTTTCAATCACCATCATCTTCATCTTCATCATTTTTTGATAGATTTATTCAACAGCCACAACAACAACAGCAGCAACAACAACGACAACGACAATCATTAATACAACAGAATTCATTACCATCAAGTAATAGCTATTCGGATCGTATTTGGAATTTTTTCGATACAAACATTAATCGTGTATCACCGAATCGTAAGTTTTTTTCCTTTTTTACTTTTCTTATGTTTAATTATATATGGAAAAATAAAATTTATAAACATAGAACGACAACAAAGTTGGAAAAATTTTGATCAATTAGGAAAAAATAATCCAGGATCAAACAATGAAGATGGTCATTCATCATCATCAATAAATAGTATCGTAGATTCTTATATTGAAAAATTATTAAAACGTAATCAATTACGTTCAAACAATTCATCATCGTCATCAGCGAATTTGAAAAATTCAAAATTGGTGAGTTGTTTTTTTTTAATAATCTCTCTTTGTAAATTTCACATTTCTAACAAAATTATAACCAATTTTTTAAAATAAACCGTTCAATGTCATTTAACCCAAAAAAGCAAACAACAAATAATCAAAAAGATAATAATAATAAAGAAGAAGATAATGATGATAGTGGTATATTGAAATTAAATATGAATAGAAAAAAAAATCCTGAAGAAAAAGCAAAATTTCGTAAACTTATACAAACAATATTTGATAATACACCAAGAAAAAGTTTTAATTATGATTCATCATCATCATCAGGTTTTGATGATGATGATGATGATGATTCACAACAACAACAAATGATACATCAACAAGAAAAAGATACAAGTAGTGAAGAAGATATACTTAAAAATGATCAAGAAGAAAATGTTAATATATCCGATAATGATAATATGGATAATATTAATATATCAAATAATAATGATGATATTGATATTGATGTTGATAAGATTATTGATGAAAATAATGATGAGGATGATAGTAGTGCAAGTGGTGGTAGTAGTAGTGGTTCGGGTGTTGATGAAGAAGAAGATTCTTCCGATTCGAATGATAATAATAATGATGAAGAATCGGAAGAAGAACAATCAGCAAAATTAGTACGAAAAAATCCAGAAATTGAAACAAACAAAAATGAATCAAATGTTATCGATGATGAATCAAATAATCAATATTTAAAAAATCATTCATCAATCGATGAACAATTTGGTAAACGTAAAATTATGAAACCAGATCAAATGATGATGATGATAATAAATCGACAACATCATAAACGTCATCAACAACAACAAAAAAATCATCATAATTTAACAGCACCTGTAAAGAAAAAATCATTATTTCGTAATCATAATCCAAAATCAATTCAAACTACTACCGTAAATAGTTTAATTACATTACCGACAATAACAACAACGGAAAAATCATTTAATGAAATAACAATGACTACGATAGCGACACCTACAACCACCAACAATAATATTGTATTGAATGGTGAAATGGATGAATCATTAAATCTAAGTGATGAACATTTTATTGATCTTGAAGATGAATTTAATCAACGTAATATAAAAAATCAAACCAAAAATGATAATGATGATGATGATGATAAAAATCTAAAAAATCGTTTGATTAAAAAACGTAAACCACAACATGTTGGAAAATGGATGGATTTTGAAACATTTGAATTAAGAAATGATGCTGATAATATTGATGATGATGATACGGATGATGAAGATGATGATGTGGATGATCATGAATCAACCATAACACAATCACCATTACCTGTAGTTGATATTGATTTTAAACCTGTAGTACGAAAACCAGTAATGATGGCAAAAGAACATTTTACAATCAACAATAATAATAATAATGATAATATACGACAAAGATTTTCAAATTCACCACGTTTTATACGACAAAATATACCTGATGATACGGATGGTTCAATGTTACAATTAGGACAAACATTATCCGGTATACCGGGTGAAGATTATCCAATATTTAGTACAATACCACGTACAAATTTTAATTGTTTAGATCATAAATGGCCTGGTTATTATGCTGATATTGATACACAATGTCAGGTAATTATTTTTAAAATTAATTAACTAAATTAATTATTGATTATTGATTGATTGATTGATTAATTGATAGGTATTTCATATTTGTCAAAGTGGTGGTCGTAAAAATTCATTTCTTTGTCCAAATGGTACAATGTTTAATCAACAATTATTTACTTGTGATTGGTGGCATAATGTACAATGTGATCAAGTAGCTAAACATTATGAATTAAATGCACAAATATATAATGAAAATCATCAATTAGGAAATAATTGGGAATCAATTAGATCAATTAATGATGTTAATGATAATTCAATAAGATCAAAATCACAACCATTAAGAGTTAGTATTAGACGTATGGCATTACTTGATAATATTGATAATAGTACTGATGATCATCAATCATTATGGAAAATAACAACAAGAACAACATCAACATCAGATATTGATAATTCAACAACAACAACATTGAAACCGGTAACCAAAACAACAACAACATCGACTACAGAATTACCTATATCGACACAATCATTACCATTTGGTGCAAGACGTAGTAATAGTTTAAAATTTCGTCAACAAACAATTAAATCATCATCATTACAGGAACGTGAACAAACAACAATTCCAACAACAACAGCTTTACCAATAACAACAACAACAACAATACCAACAATAATAACAACAACGGTAAAATCATCAGTTACGGATGCTGTATGGCCCGTACAACAACAACAAAAATATAACGGTATCAAAGGAGGTGGAAATAGAAATATGAATAATGGAAATCCGATTGAAATGTCAAAATTTAGTCGTGTTATACAGCAACATAAAGCTAAATCAATAGCTGCAAAACAACAACAACAACAACAACAGAATCTAAAGCCAAAACAACAACAACAACAATTTCAATCATTTCCAAAAACATCAACAACAGCCTCAACAATTAATAATAATAATAATAATAATTTGATAACAAAATTTACACGACATAAATTTGCACATCAAAGTCAATTAACACGTACAACACCATTACCACAATTATTATCAACATCAACACAAAATGGTCATTCATCGTCATCATCATCATCATCGCCACCGAAATCATTACGTTTTCAATCATCACCAATGATGATGATGAAAAAAATAACACCATCACCATTGCCATCATCACGAATGATATCAACAACAACACGATCGGATAATAAATATTTTCGAACCTAAACAAAAATTTCGGGAACAAAAAAAATTTCCACAGAAACAATATTGTTGATTACAAAAAATTAAAATTACAAAAAGAAATCCAAATTAAAATTTCATTAATTTTATCATTTTTTTTCTCTCTCTTAAATTTTAAACATTTTTTTTTACATCAGACACACACATCACATCTTTGATTTTTGATTTTTGATTTTTATAAACTTTTTTAAACACCATTTTACATCCATCATTATATAATCATCATTAACGTTATTCTTATTTTATCATTGAATTTGAATATTTTTTTTTCTTCTTTTTTCTTGTTTTTTTCGTTTTTGAATATTAAATAAAACTTTTTTTTGTTTGTTTGCTTAAAAAATAATGTTTGTTTGTTTCTATGGATTTTCGGTTATTGTTGTAGCGATTATTGATTCATTATTGTTTGATAATAATGGATTTATAGTTGTTGTTACCGTTGTGTTTGTTTGTTGCTGTTGTTGTTCCATCAATGTAATTAAACAGCATGCAATACGAACACCAGAATTACCAGTTGTTTTACTTGCTGGATTGGAATTTTTTCCATAATCATCACGTCCATTATGAATCTATGGAATAAAAAAATTTGAAATGTTTTTTTTTTGTTTTGATGAATTTGAAATAGAATTGAAAATTGACTAATAAAACAAAAAAAAACTTACAACAATAGTACGATTAACAATATAATGTTGATGATTTGGATCAAGACTTAAATCAAAAAATTTTAATTGATCCATATAAACTGAACCTTGTTGATCAGCATAAATATTACCAAGATCACCAAGATGACGTATTGTATCATTTGGTCCACCATGTGACATATTAAATGGATTATAATGATTACCAACTGATTGACAATCATATGATAGATCAGATCCTTCATGTATATGCATACCAAATGCAACATGTTCATCATCATCATCATCCGATTGATTATTATCAGTATTGTTCAATGTTTTTGTTAAACAATTACTAATATTTTGGTTAGCATCACAGCCAACTTTAAAACCATCCAATTTAATTATCATATTAATAATTGGAATTGGATTTGTTGATATTTGTTTTAATTCAATTTTACCATTAACATCTTGTTGATTTAATAATGCTATATGACGATTTGGACGAACCTGACAAGTAGCCATTAATGTTTTATTATTATTATTATTATCAATATCTTTAGTAGTTTCCATCATTGATAATGTTTCTGTTGTTTCAAAAGAATTTGAATGAAAATTTTTTTAAAGTTTTTTCACACACACACCTACCTGTCAATTTCTTACCATTATTATGTTGACATCCGTATTGTTGTTGTTGTTGTTGTTGTTGTTGTTGTTGTTGTTGTTGTAAATCTGTAACAATTTTTTCAATCCTAATCAAACGATCATTTAATGTTGATAAATTATTGATTAATTTATTGAATATTATTTTCATTTCTGTATCATTTTTTGTTGTTATTAATATTGATTCATTATTATGATTATGATGATGATTTGAAACTGTTTTTGAAAAAGAAAATCTTAATTAATTAATTTTTTTTATTTCATTAAAAACATAACAACAACAAATTCTTACTATTCTGATTTTGTTGTTGATCATCATCCGATAATGTTGTTAAATTGTTTTCGATTGATGTTGTAATCATCATCATCATTAACATGATGGTAGCCATCATATTTATCGTTGACATCATTGTTGTTGTTGTTGTTGTGGTGGTTAATATTGATGTTCTATACATTCTGTCCATTTAAAAGATGTTTATTTAGTATCATCAACATTGCCACATGATGATTAACAAAAAACAAACCACGAAAAAGGGGGAATTTTTATCTAAAGAAAATTCATTCGACCAAATTGAAATAAAAATTGTCAATTCGGCAATGGCCATGAAATGTGGGAGTGTAATGTGTGTGTAATACTAGCCCATTTTTGTTTGTTTGTTTGTTTTTTTTTAATTTTTGACCAATCATTACCACCCACAAAATGAATTCGATTAGAGTCTGCGTATTGATTGTTGGCCCATTTTTGTTTGTTTGTTTGTTTGTTTTGTAAATTATTGATTGATTGATGAAAATTGTTGCTGCCATCAACAATTGTAAGTAAAAAATCATAGGCGTGCACTAATTTTTTTGAATTGGGGAAAACCATTTCAATGATGTTCATCTGAATTTGTTGCGTCTTCATTTTGATTGATTGTCATCAACTAGGATTGATTGTATTCGATGATGATTATCAATGTCAATTTAATTAATAATGCAATATATAACATACATCTACTTTCACATCCATTTAATCGGATATGATGTATGAATTAGATATGTATGTTCTGTAAATAAAGTAAGATGTGTGTGTGTGTTTTTTTTTAGTTGCACTAAGGAAATAGACAATCAAATTTATTGTTGTTGTAATCTCTCAACCCAAAAATAAAAAGAAGAAAAAAAAAATGTCGACGTAAAAACCAATCATAATTTGAGGTTATGGCACCCGTTTGTGTTTTGTTATCAAGGGAAAATTCCCCAGGTTTTTTTTATCCCAATATTAGAAGAATTTTTTATCAATCATTTTATTCTCAATTTCATAATCAACAGTTTTTATTAATACTTTTTTTTCAAAAAAAAAGTATGTTTCATTTTGAACAACTAGCTACGTATGAATGTGGCAAGAGTCATGTATTGTACATTTATTCTTAACACACACACAATACACATTGTTTCAATTCTTGATGATTTGAGCACTGAAATGCATGACAAAGCATGGCTATATGATTTGTGTAAATAAACAATAGATATTGTTGATTGTAATTAAAATTTTGTAAATAATTTATATATGATGAAACTATTTCATAATCGAAAATTATTATCATGGATGCGTACTGGTGTTATATCGATTGGTGCATTCACTATTGGTGTATATTTTGAACGAAATGGTCATCTTTATGCTGATGTTGGACCAACAAAATCATTAAGTATCAGTACACATGGTGGTGATGATGTTATTGATTCACCGTTATCCAAACCACTGCAGCCATTACCATCATCATCATCATCATCTCATATGGCAGAGATTAGCCGTTTTGGTTTTCCATCAATGGATTCATTACGTTCATATAAAAATTTTCTATTAAGTTATGATCGAAGAAATCGTGTTGCCAATTGGGTATTAGAATATATTACTAATAATGATTTAATTTCTGATGATTATAATCGACAAGGTATTGAATTTCGTGAAGATCAATCATTTCATCATTATTTTCGTTCAACAAATCATGATTATAAAGGATCAGGTTATGATCGTGGACATTTAGCTGCGGCTGGAAATTATCGTAGTAATCCTGAACATATAAAAGAAACATATGTTTTATCTAATATTGCACCACAAATTGGTCGTGGTTTTAATCGTGATAAATGGAATGATCTTGAAAAATATTGTCGCCGTAAAGTAAGAGAATTAAAATCATCAGGCGTTTGGATCTGTACCGGTCCATTATATTTACCACAAAAAGATACAACAAGCGGTAAACATTTTATTCATTATGAAGTGATCGGTCATAATCATGTGGCTGTACCTACACATTTTTTTAAAGTACTTCTTTATCCAAATAATAATGGTCAATGGTTTATGGAATGTTTCCTGATGCCAAATCAAGTGATAAATGATAAAAAATCATTACAATCATATCGTGTTAATCCGGAAATAATTGAACGTTCTGCCGGTATTTTATTATTCAATCAAATTCCACGACATCAATTACATATTAATCCTTAGATCTCAAATAAACAAAAACAAAAATATTTTGCATGATATTTTATCATTTATTTAAAAGTAAAATAAATTTAATTTTATAACTACAAAAAAAAGCAACAGCAATTTAATTTCTCATTTCAAAATCAATAATGATAATGATGATTGATTCAAGTGAAAAAAGTTACACATTTGAATTTTATTTTTATTTAAAATTATCGAAAAAAAAATCCTTTACAATCATCATCCCTGTTGATATAATTTATCATTCAACCATAACCATGATTTGATTCGGACACACACACAGGTTCTCACATATAAATTGAATCGAAATAACCAAATAACATCAACAAATAGCAAAAATCAATAAACATTGATGATTATCGATATTGAAAAAAAACAACAGCAACAACAAACAAACAAACAACTTTATCAGGTGTCGAAACTCTTTGTTTTTCGCTTTAAATCAAAAAAAAAAAATGCAATTTAACCCGAACAAACATTGTAGTTTAGTGTAAACATTTCGGACAAATCTAATGTTGTTGTTATTGTTGTTTTTTCTGATGCTTATGATGATGATAACTGATAAATCTAATTTTAGTAACAAAATTGATGATTACGATTGTCATTTATTGATCCAATAATGATTTTGTTTTTCATTTATTAACTTTTTAACTGGTTGTTGTTGTTGTTGCTTGTTAATGTTGTTGTTTGTTTATTTTATTCATCATTATAAATTAAAATGATTAATATTATCACACAGGTTCGGTTCGTTGGACTAATTATTATTATTTATTTAAAAAACAAAATACTAATCTAAACTAATCACTTTTATTTAAATATTTAATGAGAGAGAGAGAGAGAGAGAGAGAGATGCATAAAACGTTATTATATTCATTGTTGATAATGGCCTCAATCAATGAACAAATCTCGTTTTTTTTTAAAAAAAAAAGGTGTGAGAAAGTTGATTATTAATCAATCAATGAATAACTTTTGTTTCTTATCATTTCATTTGTTTTGTTTTGTTTTTTTTCTGTGTTCAATTTGTCATAAAAAACTTAATGATGAAAAAAATTCAAAGATTCTAAAACATTTGGTTATTTGAAAGGATTTTCCATTGCTTGCTTGATCGATTCTCAACTTTTTCCAGTTTTTCAATTACAATTGTTAATGAATCCAAAGAAAAAAAAATGTTCAGCAACAAAAAAAAAGAAAAGAAAAAGAATATCACATTCATGATATTCATTGAGTATTCAGTTTGTTTTATAATATCATATTACAATAATAATAATAATAATAATGGATTGTAAAATTTTCATTATAATTTCATTATTGTAATAATATCAAATTGAGAACAATAACAGTGAGAACCAGAAAATAATAATAATGCCACCATGTGAATCAATCAATAGTAATTTAATATTATATTTGAAAATGAATAAAAAAGAAAAAAAAATAATTACAATATATTTGAAAAGAGAAAGAATGGTTACAATTTTTAAACTACAAAATCTACAAATTGAATTTTTAAATTCCAAGGGTTGGAGATTGGTTGACCTCAAATTTTTTTTTCTTCTGTATTAACAAACTATTACTCTTCTATATTTTCACACATTTTATCAAATTTTTTCTCTCTTGTTCTGGTATTTGGTTGTTTTTCTCTCTTTCGTTTTTTGTCATTTATCATCAATATATTGATTGAATGAATGAAAAAGAAAAAATATGATGTTTGAAACAAGAAAGAAACTTTCCAACCAAATTGATTAGATCCAGATTTTTATTTTTTTTCGGTAGAATGAAAAAATATTGATCAAATTGAATTTTGTCTTCTCGTTGAACGTTGAACAAAAAGAACCCGGGATTTTTGTTTTTCTCGGAAATTTTTCATCAATTTTATTTTGTTTCTCCTTGTTTTTTTTCAATATTGTTTATGTTTTAATTGTTCATTTTTGTTTTCATACCTTCAATGATAATGATGATGAATCAAAGAAATTTTCATCATAATTTTTTTATTCTGGCTATTCTGATGATAATATTGTCGCAATCATCTTCTCCACAAATTATTCCACCATTAATGAATCCATTAATGACAAATATTCGTCCAATCATTCCAATTCCGTTTCCATTTCGACCAATCATATTTACACCAATACCATTTCATCCAATTGCTAATCCAACATTTATGAATGGTCCTACACAACCATCTCCATCACCAATACCACCACCGGTAAGTGTTATTGATGAAGCAACACCATTCATCAATTTTGTTCGACGTAATTTTTGGTCAAGAATGAGTAATGATCCAGTGTTTATGAGAAAATGGGATGATCGTCAATTTATGAGTGATAAATCATTTAATGATATTCAACGACAACCATCTGATCATGATTGGTATCAAGATAATGTTGAAAATAATGATAATAACAACAATAACAACAACAACAATAATAACAACAATAAACGAAATTCTAGATCAGAATTTCGAAATCGTAATTGGCAATCGAATGGTAGATCCGATCAGAATTTTAATCGAATGAAAGATGATGATGAAGATGGTTATGATAGAGCTGCTGCTGCTGCACAAATGTATGATCCATTTGGTCCAGCATGGGCTGAATCAATGAATCATATGACTCCAATGGGATTAATTCCATGGCATCATCATTATCATCATCATCATCAACAACAACAACAATTTCCTCAAAGACAAATGTTTTCAAGTCCAGCAAATAATCCAAATGGATTTCAACCATCACCAATTTTATCACCATCATTATCATCATCATCATTTTCAAATATAAATTCACCATTATTTCCAAATCGTTTACCAATACCGATGCCATTATTTGATGATTATGATGAACCATTTAATAATGATAATATGATTGGACAAGCATCAGAAATTGCTGAACAAAATTTTAATCGTAATAATAAAAATGGATCAAATAATAATATTATATATGTGGTTAATATTGATGGCCGTAAAGGTAATAAAAAAAATGTCCGTACAATTCGTTTAGATGATTATTTTGCTCGAAACAATAACAATAATAATAATAATAATCAAAATCATTATTATCATTATCAACGACAACGACAATCACGTTTTCCATGGTTAGGAGGAATGAATAATGGTAAAAATCGTATTGATCGTAGTTTATTAATGAATAATAATAAAAATTTTAATAAAAACAATAATAATAACAAAAATATTAATAATGATAAAAGATGGAATAGACCATTACCATTACCGGTTAATAATAATAATAATAATAATAATAATAGAACAAATCGATCATTTACTTCAGCAGCAACAAAAAATTTATCAAAAATTTATCCTGATAATAGTCGACATTTGATGAATACAATAAATATCCGATCATATAATCAATCATTAAATGACGATGATGATGATGAGGATGATGATGATGAAAATAATAGAAATAATAATAATATCGATCATTCATCATCATCAATACGATTGATTAATGTAAGCGCTAAAATTAATGTCGATAGTGATCATAATGATAATAATAGTAATGGTAATGTTGATAATGATAATAATAACAATAATAAAACAACAATAATTTCCAAACATGGATCAGTAATAAATGATAATGAAATTTCAACACCATCATCATCAACATCATTGTCATCAATGTTGGCCGTACAAAAACATCAACTACAACAATTATTAATGTTAAGAGCTAGATTAAAATTATTGAAAAATAATCTTAATTATAATCATCAACCACAACAACAACAACAACAACAACATGATGAACAAGAAAATGATGAAGAAGAACATGATGAAGATCAAGAACAAATTAATAATAATAATAATGAATTTGATTATGATAATTTTATGAATAATCATAAAATTATAAAAAATGATACATTTATAAATGATGTTAAAAAACAACGTCAATTAAATAATAATAATGATTATTTAAATTATCGTCAGGCAATGAATAACCGGAATAATCACGTTAAACAACAACAACAACAACAACAACAATTGAATGAAGGTCAAAACACAAATAAACATAATCGAAGACATGTTGCATTTTTGAAACAAAATAATCAAAATAATCATCATCATCATCATTATAGAAAATTTCAATATCATGGTAGTAATAATAATGATAATGATAATGTTGATAATCAAGAAACTATACATAGTAATATTGTTACAATTGGAAATACAAATATAACAGCCACTATGATAAGTAATCCATTTCGAATTCAAGCAAATAATAATAATAATGACAATGTTGATTTAATATCGAAAGATACTATGATGACTATAACAACATTACCAACATCATCGATTAGTTTTGGTGATGTTATGGATAAAAATATCGAGAACAACAACAACCACAACAACAACAACATTAATGATAATCATCAACAACATTCCCGTACCAATCAATCAATCAATACGAACATGATGATGAAGATGATGATGATGAACTTGATGACCAATAATAATAATAATCAACAACAACAACAACAACAAAAATCTATAGACGATAATGTTGAAAAGTTGACTATGATTATGGATAAAGATAAATCGACTAACATTCGTTGGTCAAATTCAACCATATTGAATGAAAATAATAATGTTCATAATAATAAATCGATCGATTTATCTACAAAACGTTTACATTCAACATCATTATATTCAATATCAACAAAGATTATCGATTACTGTCGTGTTTATCCAAATGGTTATTTGGCTGATTTTGATCATCATTGTCAAGTAAGTGATTATTATCATTATATCATTATTATGTTTGATGATGGATGACCATTTCCGTTTTTGTTTTTATTTTTATTTTTATTTTTTTTTTATTATTATGCAAAATAGCGTTATTTTCATTGTGCATATCATAATGGAATTATTAAAATTAAACAGCTTACCTGTCCGATTGGTAAAAAATTTGATCAAGGTAAATCATTATAAAAATCAACTTAATCAAAATACTTATTTTATGATATTTTTTCACAGAAATTTCAATCTGTAGAACTGGAATTGTCGATTGTGACAACAGTAAATGAAAAAAACAGCCAATTCAATTTTCACTGAAATTACTAAATTTGTTTTTAGTTTTTGGCAACCCGAAATTCAATATTCAAAAATTTTCAAACAACAACAACACACATTCATTTCTTTATTAATTTATTATTATTTTGTAAAATAACATTCAAAGTATTACAATCAATCCTTTTAAACCAAGAAATAACAAAGAAACAATTTTCCGATTAAATTAAAGTTTGATTATTTCAAAAAAACAGAAGAATGATGTTTTCTTTTTTTCTTTTCAAAAAGTAAATGATGTATCGACTGGTGGACAAGTACAGAAAAGATTTTTATCACCATAAGCATCATCAATTCGTGCAACTGTTGGCCATAATTTTGTTTCTGGTTGTACATATGGCTAATAAAAATGAATGAAAACAAAAAATTAAAATAAATAAAATTTTTAAATAATTATAAAACATACCGCTGGAAATGCTGCAATTTCACGTGAATAAGGTCTATCCCAATTGCTTGAACAAATCAATCGTTGTGTATGTGGTGCACCTTTTAATGGATTAATTTCACGATCATAAACACCATTCTGTATATCGGCAATTTCACGACGAATATTTAATAATGCATGACAAAAACGATCTAATTCTTGTTTGGATTCTGATTCAGTTGGTTCAATCATTAATGTATTTGGTACAGGAAATGATACAGTTGGTGCATGAAAACCATAATCTTGTAAACGTTTTGCAATATCCATAGCTTCAACTCCTGCTGATTGTTTAAATTCTCTTGTATCCAATATAAATTCATGTGCAACTGTATTATTTTTACCCAAATACATAATTTTATATTCATCTTTTAATATAGATGCCATATAGTTTGCATTCAATATGGCTATTTCGGATGAATGTCTTAATCCTTTTAAACCCATTAATTTAATATATACCCAACTGATTGGTAATATTGCTGCTGAACCCCATGGTGCTGCTGATACTGTACCAAAACTATAAAAAAAAGAGAGAGAAAAAAAGAAAATGAATCATAATTATTATTATCTTATTTTTAAAAAAGGGATTATTGATAAATTTATCAATAATCAATCATTTTACCTTTTCGGTACACGAATCACATCATCAGGAACGATCGGATGTGATGGTAAAAATGGTGCAACTAATAATAGAATAAATTTTGTTTGATAAATATAATAATTAGGATAAATATACAATCAATCATTTAATACTAACGATGTTTTTTTACTGCAATTGGACCCATTCCTGGTCCACCACCACCATGTGGTATACAAAAAGTTTTATGTAGATTTAAATGCGAAACATCACTACCATAATCACCTGGACGACAAAGTCCAACCTGTGCATTCATATTTGCACCATCTAAATATACTTGTGCTGAACCACATGAATGTATCATTTCACAAATATCGCTGATATCTTCATCAAATACACCAAATGTTGATGGATATGTTATCATTAAACAGGCAATCTGATCATGAAGTTTATCCAATTTAGCTTTCAAATGTGCTTTATCGATACTACCATTTTTTAGTACTAAAACAGGCTCTACACGTAAACCTGCCATATTTGCACTGGCTGGATTGGTTCCATGTGCTGAAACCGGAATCAAACATATATTTCGATAACCTTCACCTTGTGATTCAAGATATGCTTTTATACAACGTAATCCAGCATATTCACCTTGAGCACCAGAATTCGGTTGAAATGATACACTATCATAACCGGTCAATTCACAAAGATCTTGTTCCAATTCATTAATAAGTACTTGATAACCTTTAGCTTGTGATGGTGGAATATATGGATGTACATCGGTTAATGTTGGCCATGAACATGGTATCATTTCAGTGGTTGCATTCAATTTCATTGTACATGATCCTAATGGTATCATTGAATGTACTAATGACATATCTTTATTTTCTAATCTTTTCATATAACGAATAAGATTTGTTTCACTATGATATGTATTGAATAATGGATGTGTTAAGAATGGTGTTTTTCTTACAATTGGACTTTTTAATAGACCACTTTCTTTTTGAATAAAATTATATGGATAATTAATATGATCAGCATTTTCTTCTTTTTCACCTTCCATTACCCAAATAATATCATTTAAATCATGATCAGTAACTGTTTCATCAATAGAAATACCAATATGATGTCCATCAGGATAATATCTTAAATTTATACCAACAGCATCAGCTCTTGCTTTTATATGTTTAGCAACATGTACTTTAACTTTTAATGTATCGAATGGATTATAAGTAATAACACGATTAACACCTCTATCATTGATTTTTTTGGCTAAATAAAGCGCCTTCTTGTGTATATCTTCAGCAATAGCACGTAGTCCTTTTGGACCATGATAGATGGCAAACATAGCGCTCATATTTGCTAATAATGCTTGTGCAGTACAGATATTTGATGTTGCTTTATCACGACGAATATGCTGTTCACGAGTCTGTAATGCTAAACGTAACGCCTGATTACCTTGAGCATCTTTGGTCAAGCCTACTACTCGTCCCGGAATTAGACGAGTTAAATTGGCACGACATGCTAAAAATGCTGCATGTGGTCCACCATAGTTGAGTGGAATTCCTATTACAATATTTGAAAACAAAAACCAAAGCAAAACAAAAAAAAAATACGGACAATGAACAAATGGAACAATTAAATATTACAACTATAAACATAATTAATCAAATGTCTATACACAAACAAAATAAAATAAAATGTACAAACAAATCATTTTCCAAAAAAAAAGAAAAGAAAAATAACATACCGAAACGTTGAGCCGTTCCTATGGCTATATCACAAAATTGGCCATATTCTCCAGGCGGTTTAACCATAGTTAATGCTAATAGATCAGTTGCAGCAATAACAATTGTTTCAGTTGCTTTAGCTAAATTTACAATCGATTCTAAATTATCAACATTTCCATTTGAATCCGGATAATGTACAAGTATACCACAATATTCAGCTAAATTATATTGATCAGTTAATGGTTTAACACCATCAAATACATCTTTAGAACCATCAAATATTTCAAATTTAATTCCTAATGCTTCACAACGTGTTTTAACAATTGCTGTTGTTTGTGGATGTGCATTATTTGAACAAAGAAATTTACGTCGTTTTTCTTTATGATATCTGAAACACATTTGCATTGCTTCAGCTGCTGCAGTTCCTTCATCCAAAAGACTTGCATTAGCAATATCTAATGAAGTTAGATCACAAACCATTGTTTGAAAATTAAGCAATGATTCTAAACGTCCTTGTGAAATTTCAGCCTGATATGGTGTATATGGTGTTGTCCATCCAGGATTTTCAAAAATATTACGTAATATTGGTGCTGGTGTTATACAATTATAATAACCCATACCAATATATGAACGCCATTTACATTGATTTAAATCGGCAATTTCTTTCAATCGTTTTAATATACTTGTTTCATTGTCTGGTTGATCAAGACGAATTTCTTTCTGTAATTGAATCGATTCCGGAACTGTTGCCTGTATCAATTCATCTATTGACTATATATAAGAGCAAAAGAGAAAAGAAAATTTGATAAATGATCTCGAACCAAAAGAAAAAAAGAGGAAACACAATGATACAATTTGTTATTCTGCAGAATCATAATACATTAAAACAACAAAAAACAACAAATAAAAATAGATAAATAAAGTAGAAAGGGGGAGCCACAAATCAATTCAATAGAACAAAAAAAACAACAAACTAACATTGAAACCAATTTTTTGAAGCATTTCAATTTTATCATCATCACGTGGACCAATATGTCTTTTCATAAATGAATGATGTTGTTCAGATATTATACGATCATTGAATGAAAATAATATGCTTGTTGAACATATGTTACGAATTTGTTGTCGTTGTTGTTGTTGTTGTTGATTGGACCATAATTCAATTGAATTACAATGACGATGATGATGATGATTATGATTTATACGATTTATTATACGATTGAATTGTCCCGTTATATTTCGGGATAATAATGAAAAACGTAACATTATAAATAAATAATCGTTATATCACGTACGATTCTATTTGATTCAAGTGAAAAACAAAATAATGAAAATCAATAATTGACCCAAAAACCAATCCAAAACAATGAAAACAAACAAAATTTTATGTTTTTTGTTTCTTTTTGAATGAATGATGGTGAAAGAAAAAAAATCTCATCAACAATGGATCAATGATGGAAAAGTGAAAAATCAATGATGATTCGATTTTATTTTTGTCTATTGGCTACTGTATATGTTTGTTTAGATTCAGGTGGCTGATTGATTGATTGGTTATCGATTTGATGATAATTATTTGTGTGTGTGTAAATCATCATATTTTTTTCAAATTTCCAATCAAATTCATATTTTATCATAATTGATTCAATTGAATTGAATTGAATTTTATGATTCGATCATTTCATCGATTGAAATAATATTTATTTTATTTTATTGATTTGATTTATCAATATGATATGATATTGAATGTTTTTTTTCTTTCTCTGAAATAATCTTTTCATTTCGCTTTATTTTTCTTCATCAATTTCTTCTTATCCTGGATGATAATGCACACACACACACTCCTTATAAGTCAACCATGGTTATGGCTCGTGTTATTTTTTTTTCTTCTTCATTTCTAACCAAATTTGGAATATTATTTCTTTTGAATGTTTAATGTTCCGTTGAATAGTAGCTTAGAAATTATCATCGAAAATAATCAGAAAAAAAATTCCCGAAATCAAAATATTTATGAATAATAATAAAAAAAGTGAAAAGAAAAAAAACATTTTCTTTTCTTCATCAATTTTTTTCCAAGTTCAAAATTCAGTTTTTTCATATTTCAAACTTTCTGTTTTGCTTGTTTGAATTTTCTTTTTCTTTTTCTTTTATTTGCTTCCGAATATAGCCTATATATAAATGATTTGTTCCATTTTTCCAGCCGAAAAAATGAAAGAAAAAAATACAATTTGATTTGATTTTACAGCCCGATTTAGATTCTCCGGCCATTTTATTATTATTATGAAAAGAATGTATTTTATGATAATAAAATAATAATACAATGAGAGAGAGAG